CACTGTTCAGGGGAATTCACAGAAGATAGAATTGGCCTCCTCTCTGATTGGCTGTAATTGTGGGAGTTTGAAACTGTGGTCGTTTTGAGCGAGCGCATGAATGTGAGAGCAAACAAGAACACACCCAAACAGATTTTACACTCGAAAATGATTTTTGTTTTGTTAAAATAGGTTTTTCTTTGGGAGAAGAGCATTTTTTCCACAAAACGCAGTTCGAGCGTGTGCAAAACATCTTTGTGCAATTTATTTAGCAGAAGCACAGCGTATTTAGTGCATTCTTACCTTGTAATAATAATAAAAATATAGTAACAATAAATATGTGCATCAAATGTAACATCAGAAAACATCTGTATAAATAAACTGAGCTGGTTTTGTAAGTTCTGGTAGACATAGTCAACATGGAAAATCATTAAAGTAATATTTGTGCTAAAACCTAAACGCTTTTACTTTGTATTTTGCACATATTTTATACTTTGCTGCTGAAAGCGGAGCGTAAAAAACAGACTTTGTCCATCAAACTAATCTGGATGTTTGTTATTGTGCAGATTCCAGAGGTTCAAAGCATGGTTCTAGATGATTCCTGTGACAAACTACAGCATTAAAGGGTTAAACATGGTAATGCTCGTGTCTTTCAACATCTTTTAAATAAATGTATGTTTTCATACAGCAACTGAAAAACAACGCAGTGTCTGGTGATGCCTGGATGCTTTGTCAGCCTTGTGATCTACTTGGATAATGTAAGTGTATCTCTCCAAAATGTATATTACTCTGCGTTTTGTGGATGTTTTAACATTTCAGCCAAAAAAATGGCTGAAATGGTATTTTGAAATGTTAAATATCGGTATCGACCGATATGAAGGACTGATATCGTGATACAGATTTCAGGCATATTGCCCAGCCCTACTATAAATACTCACATAATCAACTTTTATTAATATATTCAACTATTATACAATTTTTGAGACCATGTGTGTTTATTGCACATTAAAATGAATCAAATATGGTTTCGGGTAACGGACAGCTGCTATGATAAACTCTGGTACATAAAGCTATAAACACTTGCTACCAAACATGACTTGCCAATATGCTTTTTTGTAATTGTGGCAATACTGAGACCCCTGCATCAACACAGTTGATCAAAGCTTGACAAGAAACTGTTTGATTGTGCTCCCACTGTTAACAATGATCACCAGAGACAGTAATGTCGAGAAGCATCTGAGCAATCCTTTACCTCTACACTGCTCTTAACAGGGTTTTAGCCAGTGAATGACTGAGATCCGCTCCCTGAAAAGCCATTAATTAAATATTTATCAGTGTTTTTCAAAACTGAGAAATGAAAGCCCCTTGCAGAGTCTCAGGGGTGTTGTGACACAGTGGCCAGGTTCAGAGCAATAAAGGTCCAAAACAATCTCACGTGTTTGATATTCATTCATCTCTCCTTCTGTTTGCCCCATCTGTGCCTCTCTGTTTGAGTAGTTTCCTCGTAGTTATTTTATTCAAATATTTCCCTTATCAAACAAATGCAGAGAAAACACCAAAACAGGTTCTGGTGAACTAAACAAACTGCAGGATCCAAACAGCCACCATTCCTGAATTACGGAGGGAAGATGTGAAAGAAAATTGCTCTGAGAAAGAAGAAGTTATCAGTCATGCAGACAACTTCAGAGACGCCTATTCCTCCGCTGGCGATGACACGCAGGGAGAGAACTCGGTTAGATTGCCATGGCCTTCTCCAGATGTGTTGGCTGATATGAAACGAGAGGAGAAAACATGAAAAACAAGCCGGAGGAAATGCTAATCAGGTGATGGGCTGTTTGTCTTTGGGAAAGACATGTAGAGATCATTTATGTTCTTTCAGATTTGGCTATGAAGTGGAATTGGTAAAAGAATCAAAATTAAAGCCATATATCATTTAATTTTAAATCTGTTGAACATTTGTCCCTGGTCGACCTGGAGAGTTTTGTGTAGTACTTTGATAAATAACCTTTAGATTGAATTTAGATTTTTCAGTAGCTCTCATCAATGTTCCTGGTGTGCCTTTAAAGGGCGTGTTTCTGAGATGTGTTGAGCTTTATTTTAGACAGATTAAATCCTGCTTTGCTTTATTGTGGGGATCATATTTATCTTAAATTTTTCTGTTTGAAAAGAAAATTTGATTTTGTATTTCTATGACACTGTGCATTATTTATTAATGACAAATCACAAGTCTGGATTTGTCGCAAGCATTTCTCTCTTGGGAGAGAGTTACGAGCAGATTTGTGGTGCTATTTGACTTTTTTTCTTGTGAAAACATAATAACAAAAAAGTTTTGGTATGAATATTTTAACTCTTTAGTTAAATTAAAATATTTTTGTATTTAATTTATTTATTGTATAATTAAATGGCCAGGCTAATTATAGATCTGCTACAAAATGGATATTTGCAATAAATCGAAATAAACATCTTGTGATTCTGCATTCATTGAGTGTCTGCATTCTCCCGCTCTCATTGGTCGAGCTGTGGTGACATCACTTGGGACTTGGCCACACAACTGCAGACCGCAGCAGTCATTACAATATAACCTTTTATAAACGAATTAAAACAACATCCAACAATGTGAGGCTTCCCCTCCCCAATCAAAGAACTCCATCTCTGTCTGTGATCGCTAGGATTTTTCAAGTGTGGCATGGAAAAATATCTGTGATTTTTCCGTATTGAAATAGTGTTCGTTTATTCATTTCTCATAGCATTGGTCACTTATTGAATATACCTGAAGCTCTCCAGGATTGTAATGATGTTTCACAGATTAGAACATTTTCTTTCAGTTGAAACCTGTGAGAAACCGAGCTGCACACTAGCTGCTAAAACAGGTTAATGTAGTGGATTTGCTCCAGACCCTCCAGATACTCAGCATGAAGCCACCGGAACAACCCATCAGTCACTGAGATTGCCTTGCTCCACCAGCCATGATACCACACGCACAATTAGTCCTGACCTACTTTAGAATCCAGCAATCTGAGAAAGAATCCACAGTGTGATGGAGAATATTCAACGACTCCCCCCGAGCAGCTTTGGAATACGGTTATCACTCCGCGTTCTCGATGCCAGAGGGTGGTTCTAAGTATATTCTTTTGCAAACTTCAAAATGTCTCCAGATTTACATGAAATCAGCCCCTTACAAAGCATTTATTTTCAACCCCCTGAACAATTAGAAAAAGCTCGATTTGAGAATGCTGCAACACCATCTGAACGTCTTGAAAACCAGATCCAGGGGAGTTGGTGTTTTAAAGCAAAGATTGATCTGAAATGGGTTTCAAATGAGACGTTAATTGAGAAAAAGTACAAACATGGGGAAAGATCCGGTGCAGGGTGCTTCGATAAACCAGTCTTTGGTTTTTACAAATATTTAATTTATTATAATATTGAACATTATTGGGTTTTAATTTTCTGTTTCCATCTTTTAATAGCATCTCTCCCCAGATGAACACTCCACAGAGCACTGCCAGCGCTGCCTCTGCGTGAGTTTTCTTTATCTCTACAGTAATCAAAGTTATTTCCCCTCTTCATTTTCATTCGGTTTCATTTTCTTTTTTTCGTTCTACATCATTTCAATTCTGTTTGTGGTATTTTTGGTACTATTATTCCATGTTTTAATATACAATATTATTCTTAATATAACAAGTTATATAATTAATGCAGTGTTTTATTATATAATATTAGAAGTGTTTTTAAAAGCATTTTTTGTGTGGGGAGGGGGGGGGGGGTTTCTTGGCTAAATTCTCTCTTTTCCTAAAGTGATATTCTTATTTTCTTGTTTTCTAGGCAGTTTATAGATATATCTAATTTCATTGCCACATTCCTGTGCATGATTTTATTTTTCTGACTTTTAAAGTATTTAAAAGCTCTTGATTTTGAATGTTTTAAATGTTTGATATATCACTGAAATTTTGTTTCTGTTACCGTCATATATTGTTCCTTTTCAAACTTTCATCCATTCCCTTCTGAGTTTTCCTTTTTTGGGGTCACGGATATCTCACACCTAAAGTGACTTTCGAATATTTGATTAACCTGTTGCATGTTTTTGGGATTGTGGGGGAAACCGAAGTACCTGGAGGAAACCCCCACAAGCGAGCCTCAAATCGGCAAGTTTCTAACTGAAAAGCCACAGTGCTACCTACTATGCCACCGTGCCACCCAAATGATTAAAACGATTCATTGTTTTTACCATAAATTAAACTATTTCTGGTTAACTGGTTAAATCTGGAGTAGCTGAGGCATTGGGAGAGGTAGGCATGATGTTTATATCTCAAGGAATGGAGACTGCCAGCCTGAAGATAGCCTGGATGAAGTCACTGGATGAAAGGTAAGTTTATAGGCGTTGATAAGAAGAGGGAGAGAATGGTGAAGTTATACCGACAATATGAAGAAGATGATGCAAATTTCATGTAAATATACAAAGGTTAGACCAACTAGACGATAGAGAGGATTGAGAGGTTAGTGCCATAAAGTCAGGGTGTGGAGAGATTGGAGATAAAGGAGAGTTTCTAGCCAGAGAGCGAAGAACATGATGGAGAGGTTAGAGCCATCTGCACAGTGAGCAGCATGAGACTGGAGAAGTGAGGCTTGGGACTGACGGCTAATCACGGAGTGTGAACACAACAAGGAAAATGGAAAACCGAAAAACAAAACCGTGTGCAAGAAAAGAAAAATAAATAAATATACAATCAAGAATCATTTTTAAAACATAAAAGGATATAATCTGTTAAATCATCCCTCCTGTCCTTTTCTCCAACCTTTCTGTCAGAACAGGAGCTACCAACACATCCTCCAGGTCCTCTGAAGCTTACAGGACATACATTCATTCATTTTCCAACCCGTTTATTCCCATTTTGGGGCGGGAGGTGGGGTTTTGGACAGGGGCAACATTCCCAGCTAAAGGGAATTTAGATTATTCAATTAACCTAACTGCATGTTTTTGGGATTTGTGGGGAAACAGGAGTACCCGTAGGAAAGCACGGGAAGAACACCAGCAAGCCTCGAACCAGCAACCTTCTAACTGTAAGGCCACAGTGCTACCACTGCACCACCGTGCCACCATCAGAAAAGAACAATATAGAAAAAATAAAGTCAAGAATCATTTTTAAAACATAAAGGATTTATTTTGTGTAAAGAGTATTGATTGTTATTCTCAGGTTTCAAATGTAATAAAATATATGCAGCTATGGTGAAATCACGCACCATACAGTGCAGTCTTATGACTGGGTCAAACTCTGGGGCCAGAATTATATTAGTTTCATTTAAATCTTCATAAAAAAATCATCGCCAACACACGATACATGGGTTAAGGTTCAAAAACACTGAATAAAATTCCAGAGTATTAAGCAAGATTTGCCCCAAAAAGTTGCCACTGGAAAGTTTTGTTCAAACTGGAAGCCAAACAAGCGAAACGCTCTTACCTCGAATCCCAGCGTTCGTCTCCTCCTGTAGTTTTATAATCCTCAGATCTCGTACATTTCTCCACACTCAACCTCACGCTGCTGGTAAACCTCACACTGAGCTCCTTCCACTCCACAGAACTCCCATGGGCTTCGACAGCAAACTCATTCAAAAGTCTGAGCCATATCAAAAGATAGATAGAAGGTGGAGCTACAGAAGGATCCAGTTTGATGAGAATGAGGCTGTGTTTTAAAAAGCAGAGCAAGTCAGACACTCCGGGTCTCTGATTACATCTGCTTAGCAAAGAGCAGCTGCTGGGAAACAGTGACACAGGCTTCTGCTGCCCATGAAATCATTGGGGGAGGGGGAACCAGGGTCGAGGGGTGCTGAAATGTCTAGCATACTTTACACATGGATCGAGTCTGCAAACATGCTGCATGTTGTTCAGTTGACAAACAAATGAATAGTTTAAATCCTCTAAACTCACCAGATTTATGCATTTCTTCCATTTTTTGTCAAATAAATACTTTTCACAACGTCAGAAAAAGGTGGACTGGTTCCTTTGATTCAATAATCGTGATTAGAGTGATTCCGCCCCAGATGGAGGAGTTTAAGTACTATGGGGTAGCAAGAGATGGATCCGTCGTGGTTAATAAGGAGCTGAGCGGCTCCGAAGCTCTCGATTTAAATCAGTCTCACCGGACACCTTCTGAGCAGGAGGAGGTGTCCAGGTTTGGGTCTACCTGGACCTCTTTTTTCAAATGTCAGGTACCTTCCTCAGCCCTTTTTACCCTCTGGATGTCGCCGCCTATCTTTGGGGGCATGAAAGCATCGCAGTTCCTTAAAGTTGTGACAGATTGCAAGAACGAAGGCCACTCTCTTCCCGTTTCTTAAAAGATTGATTTGGATATCTGCATATAAGCAGTTCATTATGAAAGGTAATCACGTCCTGGGACATAAAGATCAGATGCTCCTGCTTTTTCCCGTTTATCATTTTTGAAATTCAGAGCATTGGGTCCAGAAGGCGGAGCGTAATTCCACCCTGACCCTTTCAGTCACCTCCTGGATCTCTCCCTTAAACACATTATGGAATCAGTTTATCATCTTCTTATGTCACTGCTTGGCAGATTTTTTCCTTCTCTACTTTACCTCATTTGTGTCCTTTCTCCAGAATTTAAAAGGCTCCAGGGAGGATCGATCATAGCTGCTTAAGTGGGGCGCATTTCTTCTACAAAGATTTTTTCGCTTACCTTTTCCTTGTGTTGTCAAGTGGCCAAACCAAGATGCTACCATAAAGGTGTCTAACGTTCCCAACCGCCCTCTCCAGACACCAGGCTTCCCAATACCTTTTGTTGTCCCACAAAGGTGTTTCCTGCTCCTTGTGCCCGGGCTTTATTTGCCAGCTTTAGTCTCTACCTTGGAAATGATGTTCATTCTTATCTTTGTGTGATTCCTCAGAACTTCAGAATTCAGTTTCCCCACCTTTTGACCCAACAACAACAAAAAATATCAGCCCACAATGTCTGACCTGTCCAATCTAAGCCATGACACTATATCAAAGGTTAAATTGACCAATTCCGCGTGATTAATGTGATAGCAACGAGTGTATTTGCAAAAATAGAGCTCTGCTTGATTTCTTACAGTCTCTGGTGATCATTGTCAACAGTTGGAGAACAATCAAACACCTGCAGATATTATGGTACTGAAATAAGGCACAAATTCACAAATCATTTTTGTCCATTTTCCACTGTTGATGCTTGTCCCATGGCCTATGAGGTGGTAGTGACCCTTGTGTTTGGAGCCAGCATTTGTGGGGCCAGGTGGGGGTTTATGGCATGCTGGCTCAGTGTGTAGCACTGCAGCCTATCAGTGAGAAGGTTGCAGGTTCTAGGTCAGCCGGTGGCCTTCCTGAGAGAAGTTCCACTAGAACCCTGTGACCCTGACAAGGAACAAGCAGGAAAAGAAACCGAATGATTGATCCTCGCCCGAGTAGAACACAACAGGAAACATAGGTAGCAAAAGATAGGTAGCACCTGAGGCTTTAGCTACAGGTAAACTCCAATCTCAAAATTGGAAATCGAAATTCTTGTAGGGCAGATGAAGACCCAAAAATCAGTTGCATCTGAAGTGCTGGACCCAATTCAGCACATAAATCCAAGAGAACCACTCTCTGGAATCTACTTAATAGCCACAGATCATCATTATGGTTCTATCCATATTTGTCCATTTGTCATCAAGTAACGGCAACAGTTCCTTTTAGAGCTTCACAATTAATTGTATTTCTACATGCGATCACGATTATTGATGCCACGACTACAAAACAAAATGACCTTCATTATTCTGCGTGTTTAGAGCATCACATTGTGAGAGACGAAACACAAAGTTTAATCTTTAACACCGAAGCTGTCGCCGGCGAAAGAATAATGACATGCACACTTCAAACTACCATAGCATTGAAAATATCCCAACAGATTCTGAAAGCTAAGAAACAGACCTTTCGAAACATTTATTATTGAACATGAACATTTTTTATGGTAGTAACTACATTGCGTGTGTGCCAAGGGCGGGAAGTTTGTGGAGCGTAGGAGAGCAGTGACAGATGAGGGATTTCTTCCTGTGATTGCTTTAGCAATATTTTAGCAGAGATTTTATTGTAAATATAATATTTACACTGTATATAATAGTATACGCATTGTCTTAGTAGTAGTAATAAGTTTATTAGATTGTACTGTTTTTTACGGTGTTATACGTCTGTGACTCTTCCGCATTCGCGCATGAAGTGCGTCTTTTTTTTTCCTTATTTCCTCTCTTTCTTTCACCGTTTTTGGCACACCAAAGTGTTAGATTTCAGTGGCAAAACACTTGTAAATAGTGAGGGACGTTGTTTATATGATAGTCAAGAATGAGGAGATGCATGATATAATATTGATTTATTACTGCTCGTGCTCTTGATTTCAACAACATTTTGTGTCATTCATTATTTTTATTTTTTTGTTTTTCAGGAAGAGTGTTTTCAGCTTGTTTTTTTTTATTTTTATTTTTTAGAAAATTTTGACATGTAGTTGCTACAAACAATGGTATAAAGCTATTTAAAACATCAATCAATGTAAATTGTGATCATAACCTTGCAGCCCTAAATCTTAAATGCCAAACACATTAACACTTAACCTTTTGCTTGGTGTAGGACTAGCATAGCTTAGAAAGAATTCTCACGTATTTTAAAAAAGGACCCTACCGTCCAAAGCAATATGATCCCCAAGAATTTCAGCAATTTTTGGGATGGAAAATAATACAAAACAATTGATACAATGCGGCATCTGATACCTTCGAACAGATTTAATGATGATGTATGAGAGAGCCAGACAGAGAGAAACCGTGTCTTCGATTAAAAACTACCCGTGGCCTGCACAAACCACTCTCCTCTACTTCATTTGAGCTACGGACATTCATTTGGAACTCCCACATTTAGATTATTCAATAAACCAATAATCCTGGGGGAGACAGGAGTAAACCATCTAACTGCAAAGGCCCTCTGTCCAAATTCATATGCAGCGAAATTAATACAAAAACGTGAATTTTTCTTCACTTCTGTATAGGATTCAGGTAATACAAGGAACCAAAATGAGTTGATGGAAAATAGCAGAAAAGCTCCCTTGGCAGGATTACATCATTTTGATCAACTAATGAACCAAACTCAGTGCTTCACGCTGAGCTCAATCCACACCCTTGCACACCGCACTTTATGGATATTTCTCCCTGACATTCCACTCAGCTGGACGCTTCTGGACATTTCTAATGTATATCGTGTGACGGCTGGACATTTTTAGATTTGTCTGTACACACTTTACATCTTGCACAATCTACAGCTTTGTACTGTGTGCTCTGTAGCATATATAGATATGTTACATTTTTTATTTTCCATTTTTGTCCTTTATTAAATGTTGCATACTGCTGAAAATGATCTATTTGCATTTTTTACAATATTTACTGTATAGTTTTTTAACCTCATGAGAGGTTGTACAAGCCTTTTCTGCGTGTCACACTGTATTTTGTAAATTGGTGCGACACAAATGTGGCAGTCGTTTCAAACCCAGAGGCGAGGATGAGGAAATGCTATGGAGCGGGCGCTGGGAGAATAGCTTATGGGTGGCACATCGGACCGAACATGTTGATAATGCTACTCGAAACGAACATGGATGTTTCTTACACATCAGGACACCTGGAAAGCTTATACCCGTAACATGTTTCTGCTTCCCGTGGAGGAAATGGTGATTTGGGTATAAAATGGTAGTTTTGCCAGTGAGAGTTGAGGCATGTTGCCTAAGTGAGCTTTGTGTGAATGAGTTCATCAGAGTTTGGCGGGCCACAGTGTGTGCACAGCTTGTTTCATTTCCTATGGGACAAACATGTCTCCGGCATTCCCGCCTGGCCTTCACTTCAGAGGCACAATGACATCAGCTTCCGCCAACACACGGCCAGTTGCCATGGCAGCACACAAAGACATTTTTGGGAGGGGGTGTTGCCTGGATGACACATTCAGAGAAGACGACAACCAATCCCCTCACTACATCCTCAATAGACCAGATGCTCGCTTTGTAAAGCTTTGAAACTCATTGGCTGATTGCTTTCGCTCAGCCCTGCCTTTTCTCTGCTCGCA